TAACCTTGATATCGGAACACTACGAAGCATCAACTTCAATTTTTTCAAAAATAATTCTTAAAAAAAAAAAGAAGATTTTTAATGATAAAAATAACTGGCAACCGTTGGTTTACGTAAAAAGGAGACGGAACTTTACTTTCGTAGTGTTAATCGTGGGAATCGGTTCCAGAATCGACTCTTCGCCCAGCTCTACTATTGAAGTGGGCTGCTTTGACCCTGCCTTTGAGAGGTAACCCGGGCTGAGAAGGATGCGATGCCTCTGCAGACAGCTTCTTTTCCACCTTCGTCTCCTCCTCTTTCTTCTCGGTTTCATTTTCCTCCTCCTCTTTCTTCTCAGTTTCCTTCTCCTTCTCCTCTTTCTTCTCGGTTTCATTTTCCTCCTCCTCTTTCTTCCCAGTTTCCTTCTCCTTCTCCTCTTTCTTCTCGGTTTCATTTTCCTCCTCCTCTTTCTTCTCAGTTTCCTTCTCCTTCTCCTCTTTCTTCTCGGTTTCCTTCTCCTCCTCCTCTTTCTGCTATTTGCTCCTCCTCAAACCTTTAACTGCATACACACTCACACTTGAATAGTCTGCTGTACCCACACAGACCTTTGGTCACACACGCATACACATACACACACACGCACACACACACAATACAGCACTCACCCAGTGCACCAAGTCTGAGGTAAAAGTTGATTCCCTCCCCTACGTGGGCCACTTGTCCGTCCGCTGGAGCAGCCATCTGAGACCTGGGGAAAAGCCAGTTATGCATCTTTTAAAAAAAAACCCAACGTAATTGTAGAAGTTTTTTACACTTTTATCGGCACTATTTAGAACATTCTGAAGACTGGCTGTTTCCAGTAGATATTCAGTCTGTATGAAAAAGTCAAGCAAGACATATTTATTGGTCGAAGTGGATATCTAGTCTTTTTGATCAATGGTCAAGGACTACGTAGCCGTTCGAGATTGAACGTCCAGTCTGTTAGGCCAAAGATCAGTCTACTTATCTACTGAGATTATACATTCAGTTTATGTGACCAATAGTCAGGCTTGAAATACCTAACGGCAAAAGTGGACATTTAGTCTGAGCGACCAATGGTCAAGCCATACATATATATCTATTGGTAAAAGTGAACACCTAGTCTGTTAGACCAATGGTCAGTCCCTACTTCTCTAGAAGGTGGTTGTCTTGTCTGTGTGAAGAATGGTCAAGCCCTCCCTCCATGTTGGAGACTGGAGGTCCTGTCAGAGTGACCATTGGTCAAGCCCTACTTATCTGTTGAAAGAGTGTACATTCAGTTTGGGCGACCAATCATCAATCTAGTTATCAACTGAGACTGGTGTCCTGCCTGTGTGACCAATGGGCAATCCCCACCTACCTGTTGGATGTCCAGTCTATGAGACCAATGGTAACGCCCTCTGTCCGTGTTGGAGATTGGATGTCCAATCTCTTTGACCAATGGTCAAGCCCTACTTATCTGTTTGGCAAAAGTGGACAGCTTGTCTGTTAGACCAATGCTTAAGTCCTGCTTATCTAGAGAGTGGACGTCCTGTTTGGGTGACCAACGGTCAAGCCCTCCCTCCATGTTGGATGTCCAGTCTATGAGACAACCGGTCAGGACCCCCCCCCCCACCTACCTGTTAGATAGCGTGGACATCTGATCTAGCGGCTCCTTCCGTGAGTCAAATGTCTCCTCCCCGTCAATGATGATGTGCTCATGCTCCACCTTCCGGGTCGGCGACGGCGTCAGCTGGAGGTTGTCCTGGCAACGAGACAGCGGGACAGGTGTGGAAACAATCGTTTGTGTATGTGTTTGAGTAAAGAGAAGCACATCAACTCAGTATTGGTCGTTTAGGGCTGGGAAAAAGTAAGACAGACAGACAGACAGACAAACAGACAGACAGACAGACAGAGACGCAACATAGAAGGAACGTAAAGAAGTTGGACCAACCACTGGCGCCCTCCACCAACCACCCGCGGTAAGATTGAAGAATACCGGACCAGCGGACTGACTTTGCCTATGTCTCAACCTTAGGAATTCA